ACCACTTCCACCCCTGACCCCTGTGTCAATGCTATACCTGACACTTCCCCTCTCAGTTCTCCTGGGGGAATGGTCCCCCCCTGGTGTCAGCCCTGAGTACATATACATGTACCCAAAACTAACCTGTAACAGTAAACACACTATGTATAAAATTAATTACATGCTACATACTGAGCTTAGACTGTATGGAACATGTAATACAGTGTATCAAAACACTTATTACATATACATGTACACTTAAAACAACATGTAATATGTAATAAAACACCATTTACACCTCATAACTCAGTGTCAAGAGTCAAAATGCTTATATTACATAGAGGGCTATGACCCGGACCTGACCCCAACCGCCCAAGCCTGCCCAATGACTTCCTGGCGGCAAGCGGTACACGCCCCGGGTCATCCAAGGCTGCCCTACAGAGTACCATAAGCCCCGCCACGGGCCCGGGCCTATCAGGGCGCCAGCCTGCCCTGGCGTTTTTGGTCCTATTTTAACAATACAGCCCAATACAGGCACTATCTGCATGGCCCAGGCTAGTACCAGCGACGCCCCGTGACCCCTCTCTTCTTTTTTTTTTTTTTTTTTTTTTTTCTGTCATAGCTGTGAGGGTTGGGTGCTCTCTTGAGTACTCAATGCTCACTAATGGGGCTAGTAGGATCTTATAATTTATGTAAATAAGTTTATATTGCAAATATAAAAGTATTTACAAGGGATTCAGAATAGAATTAGAGAGAGAGAGAGAGAGAGGGAAGGATAATGATAAAATATTATTTATAGAGAGTGAAGGATGGATCCTAGTCCTTCCTTTAATCTTCCAGTTGACAGATTAAAGAGTGATGTAGAGTTCACTATACTAGTTGTTCTATGGTCACTAACCTTGGGTTGTTTTTATGGTCACCAACCTTGGGTTATTCTATGGTCACCAACCTGGGTTGTTATATGGTCACCAACCTTGGGTTGTTATATGGTCACCAACCTATTAGAGTTCTACCTAGGGAAAGTAGAGGATCCTGAGAAAGGGATGAAGATTATTACTTGCTTTTAATCAGGGAACAGATTAAAGTAGTGAAGATATCACTAGTCTTATATGTATAAGACTCTTGATATTTACTTCAGTAGAACTTTGATTGTTCTTAAAAGTGGTGTGTAATAAAAGCTTGCGGGGAATCTCTGAAGGCTGAGAGAGGAGGGGTTTATATACTCTCCTCTCTAAACCTAACTGTAGTGATATTTGTTATTATCACTACATTGGTTTAGGGTTACTCTTTACTGTATGTCAATAATGATTACTAGTAATGCTTAATTACATATACATGCCATGTGTAACATGTACTATACGCTTTTAACTCTTGACACTGAGTTATGAGGTGTAAATGGTGTTTTATTACATGTTACATGTTGTTTTACGGGTTTGTGTATATGTAATAAAGGTTTTGATACATTGTATTACATGTTACATACAGTCTATGCTCAGTATGTGACATGTAATTGATTTTATACATGGTGTTTTTACTATTACAGGTTAGTTTTGGGTAGATGTATATGTACTCAGGGCTGACAATAGCCCTAATTACATATCATACATAACATGTATATGTAAACATCAAGAGTCTTACAAAGATAAGACTAGTGATAAACTTCTTACAACTTTAATCATCTTCCTGATTAAAAGTAAGTAATACATTCCTTCACATCCCTCTGGAACCTCTACGTCCCCCAAGTAGAAATCAAACTGGGTTGGTGACCTCTAACAGCCCCAGGTTAGTGACCTTAAGAAGAACTTTCAGGTTGGTGACCATAAGAACAACCAGTTTGGTGATCTCTATCTCACCCTTTAAATCTGTTAATTGAAGATTAAAGGAAGGTCTTGGATCCAACCTTCATCTCTTAATTATAACACTTGTTATTATTAGAATCTCCTTTTAAGGAGTCAACTAACTGTAGTCTGTCTGGATTTGTCCAAACAGACTGTAAGTCCCCCTTTCCTCCTTTTCTTTCCTTTCTTTATTTCATATTGTAATTACTACATATTTGAAATAAAGAATTGAAATTTCCTATCAAACCTACTATTTGCCCATTTATTGAGCTTAGAGCACTTCTAAAGAGCACCTTACCCTCACACCTGGGATCACCTTGATTTGATCAATTCCCCTCTGAACACCCTATTCCTTTCAAACCATAGCTCTGCTGAGGACAATTGGAAGGCTTCAACCCCCCTTGCCCTGCCAATTCCTTCCTCTACCGCCCATGTGTATCCTGTACCCTCTTACCTTGAACTCAACCCACCATCTCCCCATGCTGAGGCATCCCCATGTGAGCAAACACCAGCTCTGGACCCTTGTACCCAAGCCTTGAAACATAAACAGATCTTGCTTGAGAGAGTCAGAGGCCCCACCCTTGAGGAATCCCCCAATCTCACTCAATCCTTGAAGGGTAAAGGGAAGTAGGTCTCCCATAAGGCCTCATATCAATACTCCAACTGGTACCAGCTTGACAAGATCTTCAAAGCGCCCCAAGAAACATGGACCCAATACCTCAGAGCCTTGTCCCGGGCTTCCTTGTGAAGCCAAGCAAAAGGGTGAGCTTTCCAGGCTCAAGGTTCAGGTCACCACAGTTCTCAAAGCTCAGCCATGATTGAGCCCAACGCCCCAGCAACCACCTCCCTCTCCAATTATGCCATTAAACCCCCCTCTCTTGTCACCACCTTCATACACCGCGACTCTGGTCTCCAATACCCCAGCTAACACCTTATACAGCATCTCTACATGTACATATATCTTAGAAACATTTGTAACATGTAATAACATATGTATACAACACTAATTACATATATACGTACTCAAGAAATAATATGTAACATATAAGATTACATACAAAAACAATAGTAACATCTCATAACTCAGTATCAAGAGTTAAAAATGCTTATATTGCATAAAACACTTAATGATTACTGAACACAACATTAAGTGTAATTAATTATAAAAATAGTAAAAATAACAATTATAAACCTACTATTGTAACACTTGTGTATATCACAATATTAGGTTTAGAGAGCTGAATATATAAACCAAAACTCAGTTCATCCTCAGAGGAAAAACTAAGTTTATACATACCTATTTCTAAAGAACCATCAAGAGTTCCAATAGAATAAAAATCAAGAGTATTACAAATAGTAATACTAGTGATTCATTCTATACTACCTTGATTATTCCTGACTAGATCCAAGTAAGTTATACATTCCCCTTCTTGATCCTCCACTTCCCCTAAGTAGTTTCTATACTAGGTTGGTGACCTCCAAGATAATAACCAATAGGTTGGTGACCTCCAAGGTAATAACCAAACAGTTTGGTGACCTCTAAGAGATAACCATCCTGGTCTCATCCCTTACATAGTAGTAAATCAAAACTCTTCTTTAAGAGTCAACTAAATTTAGTCTACCAGGATTTGTCCCAGCAGACTCCTAGTTGTTTAAGTATTATCCACTCATCTCATCCTCATCTCATATTCCTCTTACCTTCCTATCATCCTCCCTTTCTCTTGTAACTAGTTATAATCTGAAATATAATAATATTCATTATACTTCACTACATATCTAGTCCCAATACCACCTTTTAGTGAGTGTAGCCTCCTTCTAAAGAGTCACTACCCTCACAAGTTCTTTCAAGACATGCACACTGGGCTTGATGTCTTTTGACTTTTCTTTGTGTGGTTCAACAAACTTTGATCAAACCCTCCCTGGACTTCATCAGAGACAATGGCCATGATGGGGTGACTTGCCACTATTTTGGAGTTGATCAAGTTGCATCAGTGCCCCTTGACACACTCTGACCCTGTGACTGCTCTGCTACCCCAATCTTCCCTTCCTGGACCTTCCAACCTGTTGGAGTCCATCATTCCTATCTTACCTCCAGTTTAGGCTATCCAGGTGTGTACCAGATGTGATGGCCATGCAACTGCATGTATGAAAGTACTGATCTGGGATACAACCAGTCAGAGTGATGAAGTCACATGTGTGTACACAGCATGGATCAGTAAATGATCATACATCAACAAAAGATCATAGCAGCATGCCACATGTCACGTACTCTAGCACATTGTCACAGATCATGGGGGGATGTTGATGTATGATCATGTAGAAGAGAGTTTGGCTCTAACCAGGTGTCCCCAGGCCCCAGACTAGGGTGATGGGCACCCAAGGGGTGGCTAGTCACAGGCATTTCTGATAGTATGCTTAGCACACACTGGGCTCATATCCTGTTAGAGTTACAGGTTAGCAAAGAAATCTAGTAGACCAGGATTTGAACCTTGGACCTCAGTGTTAGCTTGGACACATGCTAGACTGCCTTGGCCACTAGGCTATCCGGGCTAGTACCAGGTGCAACAGCCATGCAACTGTATGTACATGGTACTGATCTGTATTAAAGAGGTGCACACTGGTTCTGTGGTAGGATGACAGTATGCTACATAAAGTGTGGTTCAAATAGCTGCCTGCAGATCCGGTCATGGACAAGTGTAAAGCTAGTAGTTGGCATCTGAGGAGCAGTTGTTTGAAGCTGGCGGTCTTTCTGTACCCATCAGGATTCTGGGAGAGGCTCAAAGAGTAATAAATCAGAAACCTCAAGTGCTTTAGCTTACTGTTGGTCTTGCATGTTCATCTTTGTCTTATCTTTACTGTGTCTTTGTTGGATGAAAAATCTTCCTTGAATGAAAGTGCCCTTTCCGCTTTCATGACTTGCAAAAAAAACTGAATTGTGATATTCACAACAATCTTGTGATTGACTCATTGTAGTTTTATATGGTATTAACTGTATCTTAAGAATGAATGAGAAAGAAAAACTGGAGGTTAATTTGTAAAAAATCAAAATGAAAACTTCAGAGTTGGAAGAGTATGTATGCAAAGACTATATACAGTGAAATTTCATCAGTAAAGAGCAGTGAGAAAAGATATATACATTGAAGACAGGAGTTCAACAGTTTGACGAGCACAGGGAACATGAAATCAGATTTCTGAATTTGGGCAATTGTGAACATGTCCAACACAGCCTTGCACCTCTCGAACTTCATCAAATATCTTCAAAAAAATATGCGCAGTCTCTTTATACTTATATCCATCGCATGTGTTGCTTTTAAGCAGAATTTCAAGGGGTCCAAGCGCAGATGCCAAAATAGAATGTGTGGCAGAGAGCCTACACTCGCAGTTGGAGATGGATGGCATAGCTTCCTCTATCTTGCAGGTCAAGACTAATTCAAAGAGAGAAATTGGCCAATACAAATTATTGAAATGATAATCAAGACTAACATCAGTTATATAAACCATCAATGCTCAAGAACTAAAACACAAACCAACCTTTTTTTCCTCCATTCTCAGATCCTTCAAATTCCGCCGCTGAAGGCACATCACCCTCAAACATGTGATCATTTGGAGGAAGCAGAAGCTCTTGAGAAGCAGAATGTTGTAAGCTGAGAGGAGGTGATGAAGATCTAAATTTATCCCTTCTGATGCCCGCTCTGATAGAAGAGCTCTCTACGCCACGTGATCGAAGCTGTTTGACAATTCCAGGAGGAGAATTTTGGTGTCTATAACTGGGGTATGGGTGATACCTTATCATACCAGCTTCAAAAGCAGAGCTCTCAAGAGAGTGTGATTGAAGTTGATTAAAAACGCCCGATCCAGAATCTTGAAAACGACTGAGTGAGTAAAATCGACTATGTTGTTTGTCAGAAGCTCCAAAAGTGGTGTATTCTGAGCTGTGCCTTGATGATGATTGCAGTTGATCGTGGACTCCAGAAGCGATATGTAAGCTAGGAGTTGGTAGAGGAGATATGAATTTATGTTCTTTCTGGACATTCTCAACAGAAGATCTCTCTGAGCCATGAGTTCGAAATTGATCAGTGTCAATGTCCATGAGAACTTCTGCTCTGCCTCGGTTTTTGTGAGTGATGGGGCTGTCAGCGTGCCAGTGAGCTGGAGGAATGATTCCCAAAGTGTGAAAGGTACGGCCAAGACAGTAATACAAATCAGTTAAAATAAACTCAAGCATTGCATATTATAAAAGACGTATGCGTATTTGAAAGACAGGTCAAGAGATCAAGTATCAGACCTACATATCACATCAGCAGCATCCAATAGCATACTAATACCACTGGAAGTCAAAGCGGGCGACCAATTTGCTGTACCTACAGAACAAAAAGAACACACCAATCAGAGTTATATTCCAGAAGGCTCTACAAAAAGTGTACAGATCTTTTTCAAACGTACGTAGGAAACATGAAGGGTCAATCAAAGTGTTATTGTGATTGGTACCCAAAAATTCAAGCTCGCGGTTATTGGTTGAGCCAGGAGCAAGGAAGGGATCACCTGGTGTGGGAGCAAGCGGGCCGTCGTCTGATATTTCACTTGAGAAGCTACTTGGGTAAGAAAAATTGAACACATCGCTTTGGGTGGGTTCTGGTGTACGAAAAGGGTCACTGCAAGTCTGAGTTGACTTGGTTTGCAATGAAGGTGTTCGAAAGGTAACCGGGTCCATCGGGTGTGTTCCAAGCGTTTGCACGGTAGTTCCAAGGGTTGAGTCATTGCAAGCGGCTGTTGTTTGTTTGAAAAAAATGAAGTCAGCTTCAAAGATAAGTAACTTGTCCAAAAGCTGTGATGAGAAAGCCTACCAAACCAGTCTCTTGCGTTTGTAATGTGGTACTTCAAGTAAGCAATTGAGCGCCTTACTACCATCATTACAAGTGCTACAGTGTCAAACAACTGTTAGGCTTTGAAAGATATCAGAGAAGCTAACACAAGTTGATTCACAAAAGAAATTGAGGATTTAGTCAGAAGGGGTTTATTGATATGAGAAATTTAAAAGTTGAGGATGCAGTAGACAAGAGGTTTCTGGGCATACCAAAAGTACGTATATGTACCCAGCGCAGTTGTCAGGTGCTTGATTTTTGGTACCAGACATCAAGAACTCCGCCTTTCTCATTTTTGGAACATCAGAGGAAAGCTTCCGCGGTGAAATTATAAGACCAAAAGGGGGGCCTACGGACCTTTATCCCCTTATGGGGTTGCCGTGGTGCTATTGCCATCAGTCGGACAACAAAACAATCTTGATTGGAGGGTTTTTTGAACTATATTGACAAGTCTTTGTCCTTCAAGACGCCACTAGGTGGAGCGATTCTCATTCAACGCTTTTTGTCGCATCTTATCTCTTTTCAAAACTAATTGTATCTGATCATTTGAAAAAGACCTTCCTTCAAATAACTTGGTGCACACCGAAAGGAAGACTTCAGCTGGCAACAAAAATGGGAAGCAAACAGACTATAAGAAGATCTTATTTTCACTCATGATAATTCCAATGAGAAAGAAGAAGATGGTGAGCTACTTCCTTTCACAATTGGATCTTGATACTTGATCAAAGGGTTGCTTGCTTTAATCTCACCGCGGAACGCTGTATCCTTCGACTGGTAGTTGAGTCGAGGCTGTCAAGGGGGTACAGAAATCGAATAACCTCTCAACAGGTACCAACAGAGGACACCTGTAAACTTCCCTCTGAATCACCCCCACCGAAGATTTGTTTTTGAATTTCACTACCCGAAACTAGCAAAATCCCGCTCAACAAACCCGATACCTGGAATGGTCGAGGTAGGCGGCAGGCCAGTCCATCGGTGCACACCAAACCACCCCTTTGGGGCACTTCACTCGACTTAATAACTTTACAATTTTCTTCATTTTTCATTCTACATACAATAATCACATCTCATCCATTTCTTTCTCTTACTCACCACCCAACATGACACGCAAGAAGAAAGCAGATACGCACATGCTTGTCTCACTGGGATCAACACCTAAGCAGAGTCAAAGAGCTTAGAGAGGTTACCTCACCAAGGAAGATTCCTACGATTCCCCAATCAATATCTGACGCTTTTGGGATCAGTACTAGTGATGAACTCAACCATCAGCCTCTTGACAATGAAGATTTAGTTGATAATCCCGATCTAGCTCATTTTATGCCTCGTCTTGATGAATCAGAAGCAAATGAATCAACAATACCTACTGTTGCTTAACAATTTTCTCAAGACAGCTGAGACTAGTGGAATGATACATTGCGAGCTCAACTCATTTCCCGAAGACAGCTTTCTCAATCCCGCTTTTACAATTTCATCATCAACTTTGGAACGAGACTGTTGTATCAAGCACAGGATATGTAAATGCTTTGTGTAAATTCCTTATATCACGAATCAATCAAAGCAATACCAACACAAAACCCAAAAGTACTCCAGTCCGGTCTCTCATTCACAATTGAGATTTAAGAAAGTAATTTTCACATTCAGTCAATACTGATCGATCAATGATTCTCTGTACTAAGCGGATATATACAGAAGGCCTGAAGCTCTCTCTTGCTCAGCTTCTGGCAGACCGTTGTGCGTGTTGTTTTGGTCCAGCCATCAATGAAAAGAAGATTTACTTCAAGAGCCAGATGTTATAATTGCCTTAGATGGCAATTTTCAACATTGTCACTATACACAATCTAGCAAGGATAATCTGACCGAAGATGAATATCCTGATATCTTTGTCAAGCCCTCGTGTATGAAGAAGAATGAAATGATTCAGAATTCGACTGAAACTCGAGTGAAAGATATGAAGGTAAGTCTTTGAATTGATTTCATCAAGTCCAATTGAGCTATTGCTGATTTGAAACACCTCCAGACTCCGTGTGCTGACTCTCACACTGCAGCAAACAACGTCAGAAACTCCCAAAACTGGCGAAAAGTGAGTAGATTTTCTCAATCTCTTATCAGCTCCTTTGATATCTGTCTCATCTTTTGAATCCTCAAAAACAGGCTGCATTACCCGTTAAGCATCCTGGAGAACTTCTTGATAGATATACCCAACATCTAGGTCTGAGTACTGTACGATATTGGATGTCAATTGGAAGTACACATCAAAAAGGCAAGTGCAGTATACTATTCTACCTATTGATTTGACATCGATTTTTAATTGTTTTGTACAATCAGCAAAATTTTCTTGAGAACCTCAGCAAACAAATCAGTTTTGGCACATCTGTATTTCACGCCTACATGCACAACTGGGCATGTCAAGTGATGTACAATCCCCGCTTCAACGCCTTTTGGGTATTATACGATGGTCAGGGACTCAAAAGGTTTTGGTCTTTCCTGTCCGTATTGGTGGCTCTGAATCGTATCTCAACGCGCCTTCATCGACTGCTGAACATCAATTTGAGGACGAGTTTCTATGTCGAGATAACATTAATGTCAACAGGTATGTCGGAGTGATTGAAATGAAAGTGTCTAGTGATGATTAATTCTTATCCTACTCATCATAGCCATATGGCTTTTACGTAGACTACGGAACGCTCAAACAGTCTCTCATCAAGCTAGAACTGCACTTACAAACTTGTCACACACAAGAAGTTTGCTGTTTCCTACCATCAGCTACACTGATGACTTTCTACATCAACAATGATTTTTGGAGCGCAATTCTCAAAAGAACAGGCGTCATGTAAAGGAAGAACAAAAATTGGAACTGGGTCAACTGCTATACTATGAGGAGATGGCGAAAAATGAATGGTATGTTTTCCTATTACTTGTCTGGTACTATCCACAGCACAAGGCTAATTTTGATTTGGTTGAACAAGGATAGTCTGGATAAACACAGTACTCACAAAAAAAAGATCAAAAAACAGCGTGCAAAGATTGGTTCTGAAGCTGTTCTCAATGATTTGAATGTAAGCTGATTGTTTCTCTCTCTCATTGAATGAATCATCACCAACCTCACATCATACCTTGGTAGCTCCCGAACAAGACCAAATATTAAAAATTTGGTATGCTAAACAAGAGGTTTGTGATCAATTCATAGCAATTTGCGAACAAAAACGCCCATTGGATCTAAGTCGACAGGATGGAAAGCATTCAAGTATTGGTAACACAATTTCTTTATTTCTTTGATCTTAAATACCAAGTCAAAGTGGTCTTTTTTAATATACATTTCCCTCTATTTACAGGTCATAACAACAAAACACCTTGATGCTAACACACAGTATGAAATGTGTGTCAGTTACCTCAGTATAAAGATGTAAATAATACAAGTTGTTAGCTGTATAAATGTAGATATATTTAAATACAAGCTGTTGAGAAAGTGGGATTTGAGTCTGGGGGAAATGATAATATAATACAATATGTGATGTATCTTACTTTCTCACACGTGAACCCCAAAGGGTATCTACTGAGGATTGGTGCTATAAGATAATAAAAATGAGAAAGTTTGATCTGGTGAGTCAAAAATCTCTAAAGCCATAACATTCGGTGGATACAATTGGCTACGGGTTTAGAGAATTTAAGCCTTTTCAATTTTATGGATTCCCTAGAAATCACATGTATGGGTTTGCATAAAAACCCTCTTAAACCGTAAGTGTTATGTGGTTAGAGGGATAATGTGCTCAGCTCAATTCTTGGATGGGATATTAATTATAGCATTGCGCATCTAATGATACAACTGATCATCTCTATCCCTGTGCTTACAAGTTGTAGTGAATTGAAGAAGTGACCAAAGTCAACAAAATTGAAAACAGGGGATACAATGTTTTGACATGGAATGTTTTAATACCACTGGAGGTAGATGGTTGATCAAGTTGAGAATGGGTGCATTGGGATGAGTGATTGATTCCAAAGGAAGTATCTTGAGATAGTCTTGAATATATAATACAATATGTGATGCATCTTACTTTCTCATACGTGAACCCCAAAGGGAACCTGGCCTGAGTATTGGTGCTATAAGATATTGAAAATAAAAAAGGTTTGATCTTGTACAGTCAAAACTCTCTAAAGCCATAACATTTGGTGAGTGCAATTGGCTATGGGTTTAGAGAATTTCACCCCTTTTTATGGATTCCCAAGAAACCCCTCTAAATCCATACATTTATGTGTTTGCATAAAAACCCTCTTAAACCATAAGTGCTATGGGGTTAGAGGGATAATGTGCTCAGCTCAATTCTGGGATGGGATATCAATCATAGCATTGCACATCTAATCATACAATTGATCATATCTATACGTGTGCTTACAAGTTGTAATGAATTGAAGAAGTGACCAAAGTCAACAAAATTGAAAACATGGGATATAGTTTTTTGAGATGGAATATTTTGATACCACTGGAGGTAGATGGTTGATCAAGTTGAGAATGGGTGGATTGGGATAAGTGATTGATTCCAAAGGAAGTATGTTGAGATAGTCTTGAATATATAATACAATATGTGATGTATCTTACTCTCTATCCTATGAACCCCAAAGGGTACCTGGCCTGAGTATTGGTGCTATAAGATATTAACAATGAGAAAGTTTGATCTTGTATGTAGTGTCAAAAATTTTCCACATGTTTTAAGTGGGAATTGAGAAGGAGCTGATCTGAGTGGAGCAGTTCTCACATGTAGAAGTATTGAACTATTTTATTGATTTGTATGTACAACTTCAAATCTGAACTGTGGGTGTGCTGGACAGGGAAGACATATGATGGAAGCTGGCTCATTTTGTGCGCTAACATATGGGGTTTAAGAATTTAGCATCATAATAGGGCGGTTCAAGTCAATAGTTGCGATCCACCTGTTTGCAGAGTCGCGATCAGTCTTTTTAGGGTTGTCCGATCCTTAAAATTCCTGATCGCGACTCTGCGAACGCACTTATAATTAGGTTTTATGGCTTTACCTTTTCAGGTACACCGTCTGCGAATGCGCCTTTTTTTCCTTGCTTTTTTAATTGTCTCTTGTTTTTGTCAGGAATTTTTTTTTTTCATCAATTTGTTTTAATGAAAATACGCGTTTGACGCACCACGAGTGGAACACCGAAAAAAAAACCAAAGAAAAAAAAGGTTTTTTTTGGTCCTTCGCACCGGATTTTTTTACGATGCCACGCCAGAGAATTATAAATTTTAAGACAACTAAGCAGATCGCAAAATGGTGAACCACCTCTAAAGGTGGTTCACCAACTTTAAATTTTACTTAAAATTTAAAGCCCCCGAACTAAATGTAAAACTTAAAAAAGGGCTGTAAAAGGGCTACTTGAACCGCCATAATAGATCTATCACATGTGTGGTCACATCTGAACCCTCATATGTCTTCCCTGTCAAGCACACCCACCATTCAGCTTTGAAATTGTACATATCAGTTAATAAAATAGTTCAATGAAGTTTGTGAGATATCAGAGTTATGCATAGAATCTCATCAATAATACCTTAAATTTTTGTACTTCTACCTCCAAGACTCAATTTCTTACATATTAGCTTGAGAACTGCACCACTCAGTTGCATGTTGGGTTTCCAATCTGAATAAAATCCAACTATCAAAAATACTTCAAAGATTCACTCAGAGAACCTTGATCCTCTTGATATATCATCAGATTTCTCCATTCAGCATGCAAAGTGGGACTGCTAACAATCTATCTCTGACATGTTTCCAGGAGGTCATTATACACTACAAAAGTTTTCCATTTTTCCAAGGCAATCAAAAAAAAATAAAAATATAGGTGACAAAATTTGATTCCAGAAATCTCATTGCTCATTCTCAAAGCAAAATTATTCCCCTAGGAAAAATGGAAAATCTTTGCAGTGTAATTATCATGTAACAGTATATGGGTCCAAATTGACAGACTCATTATTGAATGATGGATGCCACTTTGTATGCCTGGTACATAAAGTATCAGATTTTCTTCAATATATTAACACCACTAACCTCCTTGGGGTCCACCAAGACTCTTGGTAACACCAGAGGACACAGTCATGTGGTGTTTTTGGAGTCAATTTCCATTGCATTTGGAACATGACTCTCCAGGAAATTACGATTGATTGAATCTTTACCTTACCAGACATCTAAAACTTTATTGCATTTTTTAGGCTTTCATAAATTGTTGTAAGCAGATTTGGAACACAGACAATCACATTCAGTTTTGCTGAACCAGGGCCTGGTGAGTGAAATAGGTCTAAACTCGTGTATCAGCTCAAAATATCAGAGATTCTACTCAAATTTTATTTCAAATTTTTGCGTCATTTGACTTAAATGTGTTCAACCTAAACCTAAACGTACTAAACGTGCCACACCAGGCCACACCTTGACCACCGTGGAGTAAAGTACATTGGTGAAAACTTTGAACATCTCAAACCTTGTATGGATCTTATTTTTTTTTTCTTAATCATACAATTCATCTTGATCGTATTATTGAATTATATAACCCGTCAAAATTTTCAATTGGTTCATCTTTACTTCAGGTCTCTACAGTTTCGGTATCACAGCCTTTTACCGCTACATCGCAGGGTCTTGCAACAACCTCAAGGGAATGATCAAGATTCATTATTTACTTATCTCGACTTGGAACTCAAGTCTGAGCATTCTTGCTTGAATTTGTCACATGCAAAGGCACCCGTTTCGAAGAAAATGTCACTCATGACCATCATCAGCTAGAGATTTATGTAACATAACTCGTTGAGAACGTTCTTTGACCTTCAAAGGTACATGCTTTGTTGTCTCTCGAAACAATTTCAATTGAGCAGCCATTTTTAAGTGCTTTCTCACTGGTAACACCGTCTTTACAAAGACACTCGCTGCCGATTCTCAATTCTGACTCAAATCGGTCTCTTAAGCAAATTTCAAACCGATTGTGTTTTGCCTTGCCATGGTTCAAGTCTGAAACAACTCTAGTTTTTCTTTCATTCTCCTTCAAGATGTATTGAATCTTTGACATAATATCCAAATGATTGTTTTCTTTGGTTCTATTTTCATTTAGATTCGAAGACACGGGTGAAGATAATGAATAGTATTGCAAAGTTATCGAGTAATAAATTTATTGAGTTATCGAGTAATAAGTTTACAAAGTTACTGAGTAAAAAATTTAGAAAGTTATCAAGTCAAATGAAGTGCCCAAAGGGATGGTTTTGTGTGCACCAATGGACTTTAGCCCTACCTCGACCTTTCTAGGTATCGGATTTGTTGAGCGGGATTTTGCTAGTTTCGGGTAATGAAATTCAAAGAAAAATCTTCGGTGGGGGTGATTCAGAGGGAAGTTTACAGGTGTCCTCTGTTGGCACCTGTTGAGAGGGTATTCGATTTCAGTGTACCCCCTTGACTCGACTACCAGTCGAAGGATACAGCGTCCCGCGGCGCGAGTGGATCTGGCGATTCACTTTTTAGTTTGAATCTGACTGCAGGCTGAGGGGTCTTGAAGGGGTCAGGTTGAGGCGGATTAGGATCAAAACCAGATTGTTTTGTCAGAGGGGAGAGAGCTCTTAAGATGTTTATGTGTATGTTTTTGGCTTCCAAATGCTTGAAAGGAAGATAGACTGGCACATTGAGATACAAACTACGATTTGATGGATGTAGATACACACCGCAATACTTAAGAATGGTTGATGAATTGAACAGTAGAGCAGAGACAGTACAGAAGTTCAGGACTATAATTTGTAGTACTACTCATTTCATTGAAGATACATTATCCATCAGTGTTAGTTTGAGCTGTCGCGTTGTCACTGGGACCAGCACGGTGATTAGTATGATCATACTCGGAGTCATAATCATATTCCTCCTGAAGATTGATACTCCCAGGATCAGCACCTCCAACAATCTTACGTAACACTCTCCTATGTACCTTGAGCAGGGAGTAAGCGATGTCTAGTTCGTGCTTCAGATCAATGGTCTCGACTTCTAAAGCTTCAACGCGGGACTTAAGTCTGTTGATATCTTTCTTTGCTCTGTCCAGGTGATATGAACTCTCCATCGTGTCTATTGAAAGATGAAGGGGAAATAATCAGGCTCTGGGTTGGTCATATGGAGGAGATAAGAAGAATGCGTACTTCTTTCTTGGTCGTGTAAAGATTGGTCGACTCCTTCGGTAAAATTCTCAACCACAATTTCCAGACGTGAAAGTCGTTCTTCCAAGGTTCAAAATATGAGAACAAACAGAGGATCAGGAATGTATCCAATGGACAAAAACAGTTTGTGGAGTACCTTGAACGGTGGACATGCCTATAAAGATGTTGAAATCAGAGCTTGTGCAATAAACTGTGACTATCGGATCAACAATCGAGGTATCAGCCAAATAAAAACTATGAGATAAACCAACAACTTACGGTGAGATAATCCAATCAAATTATAATTGAGGGATTAATGCTTATTGAGAAGGGACGAAAGTGAGTTGAAGATGAATCAAATAAACAAGATCTTTTTGGAGAGAATGTGGCGAAATAATCCCAATCACTTGTGAAAAGAGGGGATTTTGATAAATTTAGCATAGTCCCTTGCTCTCCTCACAAGCTCGATTGTTCAGGATTTTGAAGACAATGGCGTGTAACTATACTTACGATATCTCTATGTATTGTCTGACCCCATCTTTACACACGGGAATTTGAAAGAAAAGGAGATGAGTTCAAAGACAATGAAGCTGGATTTCTTTGGCCTTGAAAGACACAAAACTTGATTGAAGAAAAAAAAACTCACCAAATTGATTACGAGGTTGAATACCTTCTGTCAGGAAGGAAATCCTTGAAATCCATTCAATCTTGTTCCCCTTTGAGCCATGAATGAAGATTCTCTGATCAGAATCTTTTATCCTTTGCTCTCCCTACCTGGTGATAGACATTTGGTTTGCCGCGGGGCTTGGGTAATCTCTGGGAGTCATGAATGAAGATTCTCTGATCTGAAACACTCTTTGCAAAACTTGTTGAGTTTCAATCACAACCCAGGTCCTTTATCTTCAATCCCAATCCGTGTTGTTAGTACTTATGATGTAAATGAATAAAGGCATTTTGTTGATTGAAGAAAGTCGCCGGATTGCAACAGACTCTTCCATCCTTTGCTCTTCTTACCTGGTCACAGCCTATTTTCTTGCCGCGGTGCGTGGTTCACCTCGATCTCCCTTTTTTGTTATACTCATACATTCATGCGTGTAGTTTTATTCATGGGTAAAGTGCCCCTCCATTTCTATATAAATGTCCTCTGAGCTCAACATTCAATTCTACCATCTTGTTGACCAAGCCGTTACTTTCACTAGATTTTAGTCTTGTTTCATTATCACCTTACCGCTCAGTTTTCCTTTTCTCGACTTTTCCGCCAACTGCTTGTTTGATTTCACATCTACCAGCTTGTTGATCAAGCCTTCAATTTTGCTACGTTTGAGTGTTGCTTTCTTGTCACCCTACTGCTCAGTTTCTCATTTCTCACTCCATCAACTACTTGTTTAATTTCAATTCTGCTATCTTGTTGATCAAGGCTTCAATTTTACTACATTTCAGTGTTACTTTCTTGTCACCCTACTCCCCAGTTTTGATCATCTAAAGGACAAGTCCAGGCTTTCAACGGTCAGTACTAGAGTATCACTACTAAGTCTACTTCAACTTTTGTTGGAACTTAATGAATTATTGGCTGATTTGGATTGAAAATCACAGTGTACATCATTTGTCTTTTGTATTACTCACTAAAGGACAAGTCAAGGCTTTCAACGGTCAGTAAAGAGTATCACGACTTTCTATACTTCAACGTTTGTTGGAACTGAATGAATTGTTGGTCAATTTCGATTGAAAACCATAGTGTACAGCAACTCTGAAGTACTTTCAATTGGCGATCTATTCACTCGTCTTGATAGTACCATATTGTTAGGACCGCTTCGCACATATCATATCCTTGTCATGTCTCTTCGACTACGTATGAACACCACTACAATCACTCTGCGGCCTAGACGAAAAGTTGCTCGCAGACATGTCAACTCTGTGAATCCACAAAGGAACAGTTCAGCAAACCCGCGAAGGGGTGTCCGAAGAAATATCCAACAGCCTCTGACGGACAGGGCACCACTACCATCAGTAAACAATGATCCCAACTTTTGGAAAAAGATAGATAACTTGCCTTCAAATCTTCGTATCTATCTCAAGCCTGACTTCAACATCCCATCACTCACGTCTTACAACCTCCGACAACTCATCTGGCACTTTCAACCAGACAAACAAATTGTATGACGGACTCGGAAAGCAAAACTACTTGATATGTTTGAAGCACATGTGGCGCAACCTTATGGGGCGTATTATGGCATTTGATATTCTGTGAAGCTCTCTATCTCTTTTCTTTTGCCTAGTAGTATGTATCATTTCATCTTGTTGTTCATTACTCTTCTCTTGTACATAGTCTCATTCACAGTGCTTATATGGTTTAAATGTTTTCTGTCTATCAATCAAAGATTACAGGTTATATGATCATGTATTTTACAATGCAACACCTGTGCCTCTAGCTGAGAACCAGCAACAGAAGTCTTCACGCTTCTCTTTTGCTTTGTATCTAGATCAATTCCAAACATCAAATTCTAATACCCTGTGAGCTAAAATTCTTGACCACAACAATCGGAATTTGAATATACCTTACCATGTATCAAATAACCAAAACCTTTGCAAAAATTCATCACGAATTGATGATCTTTAATCTCAGTCTTCATGTAAAAAAAGTTTAGAAAAAGTTGATTCTAACAACTTGATCTGTAGTGATCTGAAGACTGAATCAGTGGTTGAAAATATGTCAAAGGTTATGTATGTAGGTCTCACTTTACAAATCTTCAGGTGAATCTGAGTATTGCAAGCAACAGGCTATATTATCCCACTGTATACTAGGAAGCTGTTAAGCACGTTTCAGTCTACTGACTTTTTTAACATCCTCTTTCCTAAAACCCAGCAAAAATGTTTTGTTTTGAATTCAAAAAGGATATTTACACAAATTCAATAGATCTTAGTGTACCATCAAAGTGATTCTAAAGAATCAAAAGAGGTCAATCAATTCAACAAAATATGATATCATTTCTATGTTTTGAACATAACTGGATTCACGAAAAGTCAAACTAGGTATATATAAAGACAGAAATAAATTCAAATTCAAATTCAATCCAATCCAAAACTTCAAACCAAATCCTTCAGCATTACATCTTTGATATTTCTTACGATTCAATCAATTTCTGTACCTACTAGATTCCCAACCATTGAACAATTTCCTCCAAACCTCTTTCCCAAGCTCAATATCAATTCCATCCAAAACTCCAAGATCATCTTGACGAATTCCACCAAAACTGTAAATCTTCGAACATCTTACAATTTTTCCCATTGGTTAATAAAATAAATAATACATTCTTCAAATTACTTTTGATTTGATTTGTAATTGTTATACCAAAAAATCCAATAGAAAGTTCAATAAATTCATTTAAATAAAATGAGAATGTTTTGAAAGAGCTGGAATTAATGAAATGCTTTGAGGTCTTACACTTTCATCTAAACTTTCTTCTTGACTTTCTAACTTGTTCTTCTTTTTCTTATTAATCAAAGTAGTTTCAATTCCTGATGCAATTACTAATCTATTATATACCAAGACGTTTTTTGAATGACATCCAATTTCATTCCAATCAGATTGATAAATAGATTCAATTCAAGACCAAGATGGCATTTGAAATTTAGCTTCTCTAACCAATCTTGAACTAGGTCTTAAAATTTTACATCTTTCTTCATTTCTTTGTTCCTCAACCAGATGAATTGGTTGACGAATCGGTTGACGAATCGGTCTTAAAAGTCCAAGTAAAATTCATATTAAAAGATGAAAAACTTGTCAGATATGTCCTCTTCTATGTCAACAAAGTTGTGAAATTATTGCAATTAAACCTTGATAGACCTCTTGACTAAATTGGTTGGATTTTTCATTTGAAGTCAGTTTGGGGTTTGATTGCGTTCTTCATTTAGGCTTGGTAAGCAAGCAATTGAAGGAGAAGTTCGAGTATGAGAGCTATATCTTGACGCCCAATGAATTTGATCTGCAGTGATATCCAAAATCGTCTCACACCTTTGCAAAACTCCAAAGACCGGATGCTGAAATTTTTGAATGAAAAATGAAAGATAAGTTTGAGATACTTTACCAAGCCCTACAAGAATTTCAATTCAAGTTAAGCAAAAATTTTGATGAAAACTTACCTTCTGGTGCGTTGAGTGTCAAGATGGATGCAATTTCTGATGTGGCCTTGAATTGTTTGGCCGAATCAGCGATTTGTACAAACAATTCAAGTGATATTGAGATTCGATAACAATTGATCATATTCTTCTAAAAGTGCAGCTGATGTTTCTCCATACTCTTCAACAGATACCATGCAACAAACTGAACTATATTGATGTTGCAATTCCCGAGTTTGTTGAGTGTCATCACCTTTGGTATAACTAGACAAGAAATATATATCACAGGTAAAGTCTGGAAGACTCTGATGAGTGTATTATGAGCGCCAGAAACAGGTCGAGTGACTTGACTTCTTTGCATGGTGATCATCTCTTCAACAACTTTTAGGATGAGTGATTGATTTGGAGAATTGATGGATGGTACTAGAGTTTGACACTCAGTGGTAGAAAAGGTTTTGGAAAGGGAGATCGCCTTCCTGATAGGAATTTTATACATTTGAACATTGTCTGAAGTGAATATAGGAAGAGTCTCAGATACACGTATACATACAATGAGCATATTAGGATAGAACCTCACCTTGAAGCCCAATTGAACCGAGTATACGAACCAATCGAAAGTGCGAGCTGCATATCTTGAGTTGAAAAGGATTTAAAGTTGAAGTCATCCTCGGAACTGATTCTACTACCTCACCGGTGCTCTGAACAAGTGCTTTGACAAACTTCTACCGAGCCTTGTAAACTTGATGATCTGAAATGCCACATTTTGGAGCAGAAGAACTGATCGAGTTGATGATTGAATCTATAGCCTTGATCACCAGTCCCTTACTTTTCACATTTGAAAGGCCTTGATCCACATGAGATGAAGTCTTTGCTATAGGAGAGAAAATAACCTACGACATATCTTCCCAAGCTTGGGGAGACTTCAACTTCAGGCTACTCATAGAGCGGAAGATGAAAGAAATCACTTGTTTCATGTAGATCTCTGATAATTCGTAAACCACATCATTTTGATCATCTGATTCCTTGATTTTATCGATAGTAAGAGTGTCGCAAGAAAGATAACTTTACTCATTAAGGATTCATCTATAGCAGTTTCTGTCGCAGAAATCAGAGATGTAATATATCCGAATCAAATTTTTGGATGACTTTTTCTTTGAAGGACCAGTATATATTGATGATATTTGCAAACTCTAATCTAGACGTTTCTGTAGATATTCAATTCTAATGGACTTTGAAAGGCAATCCAATGTAAGTTTGGCTAGGATCACGAATAATCCAATAGATTTCAAGAGTAATTTTTTGGATGCATCTCTAGATGGCGGTGTGCTAGGATCATAAGATGATGATATTTGTCACAGAAGATCTAATTTGGTTTGCAATAATGAAGTACACACGCGGTCTAGTTCATGGAGAGAGGACGAGTTGACTAACGCTACGTTGGCTTGTCTGAAAGCAATTATGCCATGCTTGAGAATTGTGTTTGATTTGTTTCGTCGACAGCTTGAGTCAGTTGAAACGGAGGGCATATCAGGATTATTCTGGAAAACCTCTGCAGCTTTTCAGTGGTAGCAATATTGGAAAAATGGGCGAGCTGAATCATGCTAAAACTGTGCCAAATTGCACATAGTATCTGACTATATGTCAAGGATTCAAATGCACCATTCCAAATGGTGTCCATATCCTCGTGAGTTTAAAATCCAGAGAATGACATCTTAAGCCAGCGAGGCTAAATCATCCGGAGTACCATCAGAGGTAACACAAGAAGATATCTGCAACAATGTAGCCTGAGCCTGGATGACCATTTCAATCACTTGACCAACCATGTATGATTGGAGGGAAGAAGACTGACAATCTGTACCACGAGAGCTAGATTCAATCTGCAGTTTTCATTCACAGCCTTGAACAAAATTTTGAGCCACCCAATACGAATAGGAGTAAAGTTGATGGTTGAATCTCTGAAACAGAATTGAGGATTTCAAACATAGTAGCTGTGACGGTTTGTCATCCTGGTGTGTCAAGGAGTCTATCTGAAGATCTGGCGCACTTGTTATTTTTGGATTCAAGACACAGATCTGAGATCATTTCCGTGAGCTTACGTAAAGTCTCATCCAAGGCCACCTTCAACTGTGGATCTTGGGTATGAAGTTAGGAGCGAGCTGTTGTGGTGGCAAGGACAATACAAAGTGACTGTAAGTAGCACATTTAGCCACATCTACCTCTGACGAGCAACTTGTATCATTCTTTGAACTTTTGATAGACATGGGTGAGCCAGCGGGTTCAGCAGATCATTTTTATTTCTTAGATGATCTTTCATCATCAGACCCACAAAGCGGAAAGATGGAACGATAGGTATTGAGAAGTCAATCGCTTGCAGTGACATGTGCCAGATTCAATTGAGCCGGTGAGACATATAATAAAATTTGTCTTGTAGTTTTTGAATAGTGGCGTGGTCGCTAGTTCAACACGATATTCATGAAATGCTTGTAAATAGTCCCGAGTGATGATCAATCACAGTCGTAATTCGAATACATCTTCACTGACGCTTGCGGATCGTGAATTAGTCGACCAAGAGCTGCAAAGGGTATTGACTTCTGCTTTACCAAATCACCGTTGTTTCGCATGCGAGTATTGGTAGAAAGATCTCATTTAGAAGGACTTTGATTTCTTCCTACAGTTAGCTAAGTTGTCAAAGTTGACATACATCCTCCAGAGCCTTAGAGAGATGGAGCAGAGAAGAGGGTGGAGGATAAACCCCAAACCCGGTACAGACTGTACAGACCTCAAAACCTATCTCAAACCCGGTACAGCTCATGCAGACTGTACGGACTGTACAAATCATCACTCAAAAAGTTGGTTTTGGAGGCCTTTGATACCACTTTTGTCGGTAGCATTGATTGTTTGACCAGGCAATTAGGCAATTTTCATACTTGATGAATTTATGACCCAAGGCCCAGATTGTCCATATAGGATCCTAAAGTGATTCATTCCAGGCTAAAGCGATTCATCCAGGCTGAAGCGATTCATCCAGGCTAAAGTGATGATTAAGGGGCTCTCGAGTCTCCTTGGTTGTGCGAAAAAAAGACCCTTTAAGGGTCGCTTCTAGCCTGGACTGTTGATTGAACTTCATATCACACGGATCTGGCCTGGTTGTGGAAAAAAAAGACCCTTCATAGTCAATTGATTGAGATTCATATCAGACAAATCTGATGATTTCTTTTGTATTTTTATGAAGTCTTACATATATAACTTCTTCCTTTTTGATAAACGTCTGTATCTCCTCACTGCTCATCTGTTCGCTTATTACTCTGATTGCTTCTCCTTTTTCATTGAAATTCAAATACCAATATTTCTTCCAACCTCACTGCACACTTCAATTCTTTCCTTTAGTACTTCTGTACGCTTAGGAAACTATTAGCTGCTCTTAACCTCCTTGCTGAAATTGATTCTTTCCTTTAGTACTTCCGTACGCTTAGGAAACTATTCAAAGAAGCTGCTCTTAACCTCCTTGCTGAAATTGATTCTTTCCTTTAGTACTTCCGTACGCTTAGGAAACTATTCAAAGAAGCTGCTCTTAACCTCCTTGCTGAAATTGATTCTTTCCTTTAGTACTTCCGTACGCTTAGGAAACTATTCAAAGAAGCTGCTCTTATCCTCCTTGCTGAAATTGATTCTTTCCTTTAGTACTTCCGTACGCTTAGGAAACTATTCAAAGAAGCTGCTCTCAACCTCCTTGCTGAAATTGATTCTTTCCTTTAGTACTTCCGTACGCTTAGGAAACTATTCAATGGAGTTGTTATTACCTCATTGCTGAAATTGATTCTTTCCTTTAGTACTTCCGTACGCTTAGGAAACTATTCAAAGAAGCTGCTCTTAACCTCCTTGCTGAAATTGATTCTTTCCTTTAGTACTTCCGTACGCTTAGGAAACTATTCAAAGAAGCTGCTCTTAACCTCCTTGCTGAAATTGATTCTTTCCTTTAGTACTTCCGTACGCTTAGGAAACTATTCAATGGAGTTGTTATTACCTCATACTATCATTCTTCTTTTGACTTTTTTCCCCTTTTTTCCTTCAGTACTGTAGTACACTTGGCGAACTATTCAAAGACATGTTAGTTTTGTTTACAATAACGGTGTTTTGATTTGTCTTTTTAATTCAAAAATAAACCATACCAAATATATTCTTGACGAATCAATTGTGAGGGACCTTGACCTCACACATCTAATTAAACATCCTAAGATGTTGATTGTACTCCAAAATTGTGTTTGCACGGGGTTGTAGAACACCGGGTTTGAGGTTAGGGGTTTGGGGTTACTGTACCGGGTTTGATGTTTGGGGTTTTGGATTGTCCTGCACCCTCCTCTCTGGTCCATCATGAGTCGTATGGCCGGTCTTTTCATAAATCCCCCGAAAATTTGTTCTCACTTTCAGCACATCTGGTTATGTTTATATATCTCTCACTCACAATGTAACGTTCTTATCTATTATTATCCCATCATGACTTCTTTGGTTTTACAAAGTTCAATCATGCCTTGTCCTTAATAAACACCACTAGTAAGTCATCTCTTCTCAATCATCCTTCTTTCTGTTACTCGTTCCATCTGTCTAGTATCTTTAACACCGCCGTTTGAATACACCTTATTCGTTTCCACTACTTTACATGTGAAATCTTTCAACTTCATCATATCCCATATGTATTTTGTGTCTTTGTTATCTCTGTTCCTCAAATATAACTGATAAGCTTTTGATTCTTATCTTCCCAGGGACGTAATGGTTTCCAGAGTATATTTTTCGTTCCACCTGAATGGTGCTCCCCCTACCCTGAGGGAGTGGTCTGTCAATTGATTATCCGGATCTGATCTCGACCACACTTTCCGACAAGTACTTATAAAATACGACTTGGTCAACTTGTCAAGACAGGCAAAACTGAAATGCTTTGCCGGATCTATCCATTCCAAGGTTTCACACACAGCTTTTCATATGTTTTTGCATAGGTTTCACTTTATAATTTCATCTCACATACATGGTCCATTGGTTGCTGTCGTGGTTCACAATGTTGCTAGTAAGTATCAAATCTCTAAAGTGTTCTTTGATTGATGATACAGTTCTAATTCATGTACTGTCTATAGATTGGACATCTTTCATGAACAAATCTAAATGGGTTGATGATGTAAGAGCCGAGCATGGAAACGACGTGATCGTAGTACTAGGGAAAAAGACAGATATGGGAGACAAATAATTTCTAGCACATTTCCCTCCTACTTTTAAATGATCAAACTTCTGATAGTCTATGCGTTTGAATCTATTTGAAAAAGAGACAAGTCTCGAGTGATAACACTGAGAAGAAGGCAAAAGAATTAAATGTAATGTTTATTGAAACAAGTGCTAAGGCTGGACATAATGTTAAGACTCTTTTAAAAAAGTACTGGAGCTCTTCCTGGGATGGACACTTCATCTGACGGTCAATCAACAAACCATAGTATGTAATTCAATTTTTCACTCTGATCACTCTTTTATCGATTCCTCTGACCTGTACTTGTTTTTTGTCAACACAGTGATTGATGTATCTATTGCACCTGCTATTCACAGAGAAGAAGGGGGATGTGGATGTTGGTAAGATAAAAACCAAAAAAAACTACAACAAAAATCACAATGATTGTATTACATGCTTTTTTTACTATTCTCCTTAATCGTCACATTCGAACTATTCCGCATTAACAAAATCGTTTGATGAGATCGTCTGAATCATGTTGTTTTATATTACAGAAAAGCATCTTCTTATCTTTGAGAAGTTAATTGTTTTTCTCTTCTGGTTCATTTACCTTACGTATTTTTTGATAGCAATTGATTATTTTGGAAAATAGACACTACCTTATATTCCATACATGCCATACAGAATGCTCAGTTTTGAACCTAGGGAATTTGATTGGTTTCCAATGTCTACTGATAATGGTCAGGAGTAGATTTACCCAGTCAAGGGAAAACCGACAGCTAAACAATCAGGTAGCTCATCTTTTGAGTTTTAAGATGGTGGCCTGGTCTGTTGAAGAGCAATAGAAAAGACCCAGCTTTTCAAAACGGTCATGTCTAGTCTTTCAATTTAGAAGTGGGATGTGTTTTTCTCAGGTGGAGATATGTTTAGTCAAGAAAGTATGCAATTTGATTTCAAAGTATGGATTTTGAGGATATTGATCAGGAAGAGATCCAAGATGAATGAGTTGATCAATAAACCATTATGGATCATAAGGGAATCAAGCCATAATATCGTGATAATTCTGTTATCCTTCAATTGAAATTCTATGGTCCGCTTCTCCAATTAACTCTACAGTCTGCTTCAACATAACTGGTTGCGACCTGCAAGCCAAGTTTTTATTATTGAAGCATCACCTGGCAACTTATTTTATTGAAATGCATTTTTGGACGAACTAACTCTCAAGTTTACATTGGATGTTTTTTGTTATTTGAAAGATTCACTTGTATTGTTATCCGTGTCGACTGAATTATCGTGAAAAAAAATCATCTGATCATTATCAAACTATGAAGAAACTATGTAACATCTCTATACAGGATTTTATCCTTTGGTAAATCAACTAATGGAGTGAAGCCCATTGAACAATCCCAACTTTCCAGAATAACCATTCAGACTACAGCAAGGGGTGGCTTATAATTAAACCAGGAATTCAAGTCAGTCCAAGCATCTTTGATACCCAATGATAATGTACAATGTATGATCTTCACCTCAAATCTTGAGATAGGGAAAGAGCTGTCTCTTTTCATATCATGCTCTTCAAAGTAATCTCGTGGGATTCTAATGATCTTGAGACTGGCCCATATCCCTTTTACTTCTTCAGTTAGCCGTGGACTACCGTTTAACCATGTCAAGGACTCAAGTCTGGGACACATAGAAAATACATTGATAAACCGATGGCTTCCGTGAAAAGTGAGATGTCGCAGGTGATTGAAATCTTGTGCCAGAGTCACTGTCTCTTGCTGGTAATTAAATTCAGAAGTTGCGAGGTTCAGGACAATCAAGCTTTGATGGAAGATATGGCAAAATTCTAGAAGATTTCTCTCGGGAAACAGTGAATTCGTTGACAAAATGATGGGCTCAATTGTCAATTCATGAAGGTGACATCGCCATTCAAGATTGATCCAGTCGGTATTAAATGACTTGAGGTAACGTATATCGAGATTTTTGAGGGAAAGACGTGACACAAGTGCTGTGCCCAGGTCAGATGTATGTCCGAGTTTCTCAGTGACATGACCGATGTTATATCCACATAAGACAATTGTGTTTAGGTTGAAAAGCTGGCTGATGATCCGGGCCAGAAATGACTCTGAGATGTGTGCTACTTCGGTGGTCAAGAATTTGAACGTCGATAGATTTTTGAAGGTAGTGATTGTGAGCATCAGGCAATTGAGTTGCGGCCAAAGAGCTTCCTGTTTGATCAATTCAGAATGACTAGCATCAAGTCGAGAGCTAATCAAGTCAAGGCAAATGTTACATTCTTGTATTCGGTTTGCTGAAACACTCCGAAACATGGTTGTTGCAAGGTGGATCATCTTTGAAGGTGTTGTTGTTTTGAGCCAGACTTTCGCGGACATAGCATCATCCTCATTGCTTGGACTTGACATGTGCAAGTTCAGGATTCTGGTATAGTGTTTGTTGAGCTGAAATTCGACATTCAATTTCTCTGTCTGGCGCACAGTATTACGGTTCAAGGTCTTTCCTGTGGATGTAATGCTTAGCACCTGCAAATAGTAAATGACCTAATCAGAACTGGTCAATTGGGGCCAAAACAGAAGATCATTGATTCCGCACCTCCCATGTAAGGTGTTTCAAATGTTCATAGGTGACCTTGTTCACTGTCAAAAGGGATCCAAGCCTACGATCTAGACATGTGGTATGATTTTGTCAGGATGCTGTACAGAAGCCAAAAAGCATGGAGCGGAAATAGGATTTGTCATACTTTCTCTTGCCCGTCCATTTTGAGGTAGACTGGTTGTTTGTGGAATGCCTTCGTTAATGGATTTCAAATCGTGAGAAATGATCTGTACATAAATTTCTGCAGGAAGTCTTGTAATAAAGTGGGTATTTGAGGAGCTATCCATTATCTGAGGGAATCAGAAGAAGTCGAGAAATATCAAGATTCAGGCAGTTAAGTAGTATGTAGAGGCAAATTTCAGATTGTCTAAAGTTGTGAGGTAAGTTCTAGAAAGCTTGTTCTTTACAATTAGATTGATCACTGTGTGCGCACTTTTCTCTCAAGGATGCCTGTAGCACTCAAGTCACAGTTCAGTAGGGAAAGGATCAAGAAGATGTGAAAAGGCAGGCTTTTTCAGAACAAAGGTGCTTCAGGAATTTTGAAAGTCAAGGTACTAGGGCAACCAAGACAATAGCTCGAAGTCTTATGATAGAGGTGTATGAATATATCAAGTATTTGGCATTCTTGAGGATGACTTTTGTTGTATCATTTGATCCAATTGATTGTTTGTTTCAGTTTAAGGAACCAGAGATTAATTAGACGTAAACAGTAAGCTATCCATACATGGTCTTGAAAGCCAATCACTCACAATCATGAATTAGGATGTGTTCAAATTTGGTGATGATGTGTCCTAGACACACCAATAAACTTCCTTGATTGTTTTTGATACAACTGAGTCCTTTTTCTTTTATAAAGCTTCATGTTCATGGAAATCTGTATGGGGCTCAAACTTATTTTGTCATCAAGTAGTAAAACTTGAATTGGTCGCAGTCAAAGAGTCAGAGGGGGACTTGTCAGACCCACGGTTGAATGATATTGACCATTAGGGTATTGACCTGAATGATGGGTGTTGATGGTTACCTAGAACTGAAAAAATGTATATTGTGCGGTGAGCCTGGATTTAAAAGACCAGCACTTTGTAAATGGTACCCAAGGGTGATGAGGGAATTGATTGAATATGAAGATTAAATTGTAAGAAGCACATATTTGGTCAATGTGGTCAGTTTGGTCATTCTGATTTTACCGTTCACAATTCACAAACGTGTATGTTTACCCCCAACTTGGGTCAATTCTCTACAACTGTGATGATTTTTTCTATTCTAAAAGACGACTTCATGGTATAATTGAAGAGACATGAAAAATGACAATCTCATATAAATTTCTAAGTACAAGCTTAACAATGCATCTTGAAAGATTATCAAACATGTAGTAGAACAAAACAAGAAACATTTGAATGACCTATTATTTTGTCTTGAAATAGACATCAGTCTTATTGATTGCTACAAGAAGCTTGATTATTGGTTTTCGTATTATAATCAACCTTTGGGTCATGACTATTCTCGTATTGTGCCTCAATAATCTTATCTACATCCTCAAATGCTTCCGTAATCTTTTTAAAAACACTGTGGTGTCCTGTAATCATGGCCTTGGCAACACACAATTCAAGGATCAAATTGTGTATCTTTGCTTCCAACGCTTCAACTTTGTGCTCAAGCAAGTGAGTCTTTTCCCCTGTAAGGTTTAGACCAGTGTAAAGATGATCAATCTTGCACCCTAGAAAAACAACCAGTTAGCTGTGACGGGCAAATGAGAAAACCAAATCACCAATACACACCATGATGTTCTTGTTCTTGTGCCGATTTTTCATACACCTCAAGAGTTTTTCCTATAACAGCAAGTGTGCGTTGGATCTGATTAGCACAATCCAGCAACATCTCACCATGAGCTAAAAAGAGATTCATCAAAACGTCAGAGAATGGTAGATATAGACACAGCCCAATGAGAGATCTCACGTGTGGTTTGATTGTATCGTTGTTCAACATCAATGTTGACTTCCTCATTTGGTCTGGTGGTTTGTGACATATCAGCAATAGTACCAAAATCGTTTTTGTAACTGTATGTGATCAAGCAGATCCGAAATTATAAGACCGTAAGTGTCAGAAAAAAGATGTTCGTTGATATATGTGACCAATATCTTTAAGGAAGGCAGCTATTCAATGAAACGATGAGCCTTTTACGTACTGGAACTATATCAAGAAAAGGAGAAGCTCAGGAAGATGATGAGCAAGTCTAGGGAAACCATAATGGTCAGTACTTATGTTGAATGATGGAGTTGTCTCTGGGTTGTGTGGGCTTTCAAATCACGTTGATCAAGGGGTGGAACTCAGGGGTATGGTACTGTCTCAAAGACATGACTTGTTTGTGTCTTCTTCCAACAAGTTCTTGCCTATGCTTTGTGTGTTGATCATCTTGTTGAGAGACAAATTGACTTCCATAGAAAGCTTTGGAGTATTCTGTATAACTGACTATGTGCTCATCATCAAGAATTGTTTGTTCTTTTGCCCTTCTCCTTTTGTTCATCAGAAGTGTTATCTAATTCCTCTTTAATAAAGATATCTCGTGACTCAATATGTAGAACTTAATACGTGCAAGATAAGAGTAGCTTATATTGCACTCAAGTGGCTCATAGTGCGATAGATAAATGGTGATCCATCTGAAAAGTAAAACGGTGGGTGGATGTTTCAGAAATACATGAATTTGTTTGTTCTCTGACCCTTCATAGTACGATAAACAAAATATTGGACATCATAGACGTAAAACAGTTAATAAGTGTTCCAGAAATACATGCATTTGTTTGTTCTTTTGCCCTTCTCCTTTTGTTCATCGGAAGTGTTATCTAATTCCTCTTTAATAAAGATATCTCGTGACTCAATACGTACTTGTCACCTAGCAAGAAAACGAGAGTAGCTTATATATTGCACTCGATGATTCTTTTTTAAATAGATAAAGGATTAGTCATGGACAACAGTGCATGTATGTTTCAGAAATACATACATTTCTTTATTCTTTTTTTACTGTTCTGTGGACTGTGCTAACATCCGTTGATCAAATTGGTTTTGATCATTTCCAATACATATTGACAATTTTTTTGAGTCTTGTGATATCTCTCCGCCGTCACCCAATAACTTCAACATATCATCTAAGACTAAAGAACTTGATATCAAGGTTAGTCAATGTAGAAACCTCTTGAAAAATCGAATACATTCACCTCAAATTGGCAAATTCTGATGATTATAACTTTGTCGTTGCAGACAATTCAATGGAAAATAATACCGAGTATAATGAAATCCTGAAGAAGAAAATATATCACTTAGATCAGTATCAAGAAAACATCTTGAAGACTTTATCTAGGGTGAATCCAGGTGCAATGGATATTGAAGCCGAGAAGAAAGAGATTGAAGAGAAATACCGAATGTGGAAACAGAATCTTTTAGAAAAATATGCAGACCATTGTGAGTATTTTCATTTATCGGCTTGAAATCACACTTTTGAACCTGAAAACATATGAATTTTTACAGCCTTAATGGACCAAAAACCCTAATCATTCTGAACAAAGGATGCATATATAAGAGCCCGATCTTACTAAAAAGCTCACCATATTTTGGATCACAATCAAAATTCTACTCAGAACTTTTATTTATGTACCTTCAAGATATTGTAACATTCTCAAAGGATATTATAACACGTTGGAAAAGCCCAGAGAAACAACCAATATCCACCATATCTCCCCATCCTGGTAAAGTATCAACAATCATTTCTTGTGTGACCGTATCAGTTTTTAAACCATCCAAAAGAGCTGTATATATTGAATTCTGACTGTAATAGTTATCCTACCACGTAGTCAGCATATCCGTATTGGTCATAGTAACCATGCCTCTGCTTTTTTTTCTCTCACTGCTACTTTTCTTGTTTTATCATTGTCCCCAAGCAGTGCACGAGAGTCGCAAGCCTGCTGCTACCTTTCGACAGGTGCTTTACTTTCTTTCATCACTCTTTAGTGATTATCTTGCCTTTGCGCTCATACACATCACTAACAAGTGATTCTTATCAGTCACCTCCCAGTTCCTATTTTATCAATATACTCAGTGAGGTTGTAGGACTTTATCAGTGTTACTTTTTTGTTCTTGTAGGCTAAGTCCTACAAGTTGACCAAGGTTTAGTTCTAAAGTTTTGTCACGGATTCTGGAAATCAATTTCAGGATCAAATTCTGGAAATTATCCATGTCTCAAGTGATCTGTCACCACATGTATATTGTAAGTTGGAACAAGTTTTAACTAAGGGGAATAGGTGTTCCGGCTTAGTGGGATCTGTGAAATCCGAAAGATGCTGTGCGAGTTGATTTCATCCTTTTCCAAGTTCTTATGACGGATGGTAAAGAGCTCTTTGTAAACGGTTTTCAAGAAAAGCTTATTCTTCATCTATTGTCTCTGCGATTTTACAAAGTTGTTCTTTACTCAGTTTCTTTTATCATTTTAAAAGTTCATCCATAACGGTTATCAACAAAAACCATTCTAATTCTTCTCGTCCTTTTAATTTAAAAGTTGTTTTAAGATTTTTTGTTTCCCACCATCCCACCCTTTACGTTGTAGCTTGTTTTGTATTGTAGTGTTAGCCACCCCTCGGGTCTCCGGTTCTTACTTGGGAGTATGATCGGATTGCAGGCGGAAGTCCGATCTGGTGTGCGAGGCTGGAGGTAGGCAGCTGGAAATTCAAAGACAGCCCAATGCGGACGAAATCGAATTTCTCGAGTCTGGCCAAAGCCACGAGGACAGATCTGGCTGAAGCAAAATTGTCAAGAAATATGGTCGGTCGTTCGGCGTTCTGAATGTGTAAAACACAAATGCTGACCCAAGCCATGAGCTCGTTTAGAGACTGCCTCACCATTCAACACCCCTTTTACGTTCAACAGAAAAGTATCTCCTCAAGAAGACTTTCAAGCCACGATTTGATGTGAGTGCATGCAAGATTATACATATATTCATCATCTGAGTACAATGTGACTCAAAAGTACTAGTGACTCACAATACTCCTCAATTTCTGGTATACCACATCGGGAAAAATGGAAACAATTGATGGTCATTCAAAAAGTCAAAGATGAATTCTAATCTCAGCATAAAGGAGAACCGCATCTAGTTGACAGTGTTCTAATACGTTTTCTATGTATCAGAATATGGACTTTTACTAAGGTACAATAAAAAGGTATGAACTACTCCTTCAAAGAGTACACGAATCATGAAAAAAGAAAGTTAAGAAAAAGATAACTTTTTGTCCTAAACTCATTGAAATTGGAAGAAGAGAATTGAGAAAATGAAATAAAAATGAAACGAGGATGATTGAGTGTGAAACAATGGAAATATACAACGGTTTTTGAAAACAACATAGCCTTGAAGATAGAAGGAGGTTTGGGCGTTGACAAGACTTGAATTCGGATTTGGTTCCTCTCAACTTTAAGATTCAGCGCTGCCTTGATACGCAAGATCAAATGGCTGAATCCGTTTCAATGAAATGCTTCCTCATCAGATGAGTTCATAGGCCTGACTCCAATTGAGGGAAACACAGTAGGTGAAGTTTGCGATATGAAGAGGCAGTGGAGGTAGCAATTGAATTTCCACAAATGGAGATTTGTAAAGCCTTGTGAATCTCTACATTTGTGAGAGATGTAGGATAGGCAAAATTATCAATATCTCAGCCGGTACCTTTTTTGTCAAGAATGGACAAATGATCAAATCAGGCTGAATAAGAAAGAACACGTAAAAAGGTCATCAGGACAGGTAAAGGCTACAATACCAAGTTGGCAGTGCAGAAGACAAGAATGGAACTATTTGAGAAGGAATGGAAATTGAGTTGATGATGAATCAGATAAACAAGATCAGCTTGGAGAAACCGTGGTGAAAGAATCCTATCCACTGGTAAACAAATCACCGATTTTGATAAATTTACCACGGTCCCTTGCTCTCCTCATGAGCTTGATTGTTTATGATTTTGAAGACAATGGGGTGTAAGATTACTGACGATATCTCTTTTCACCAAAGTTTTGGCCCTTTTCTGAGACACAGGAATGTAACAGAAAAGGAGATGAGGTCGAAGACAATGTAGGAGGATTTCTTTGGCCTTGGAACACAGAAAGCTTGATTGGAGAAAAGATATCAACTTGCTGAATTGCTTACAAGGTTGATTACCCTTTGATTATCAAATAGGAACTCCTTTTCAAAATCAGGTCAATCTTGCTTCCCCTTTGAGCCATAACAAAACTTGTTCAGTTTCAATCACAACCCAGGTCCCTTATCTTTGATTCTGATAGCATGTTGTTTGTGCTTATGATGGAAGTGAAAGAAGTATTTTTGAAAGATATGGAATAACAATGGAAGAAACCCACCGGATTACAACAGAACCTTGCATCCTTTGCTCTCCTCACCTGTTTCACGTCAATTTTTTACTGCCCTTTTGATGTTAAGCACTTTGTATGTATCAATAGATGTCAGTTTTCTAGACACTCCAAACTCCGCATGCTGGTTTCATTTCTTCCAATAACGTTTTTCTCTTCTGATCACTACTCACTTGGTCCTGTTTAACTTTCAATCGCTGCGCCATTGAATTATATATCCACCTTCCACGTCTCTACGACTATCTCATCCTCAACCAATTATCCAGTCTGGTTACTGGGTTTACTGTATCATACACAGTTTTTGCAGCTTTTCTCGTTCCCAACTGTTGTGTTCCAACTGCAATTTTTTTACAAAATCTGCGGCGTACTCAGAGTCTTGTTTCATATTGACTAGTCAAAGCCAATGGTATTGCCATCAGAAAGTAAGTATATGGGCTTCTTTATCTACTCCCGCTCATATGTACCCACTTTTTTCTGAAGTTCCAAATTTGCCATGTAGTAGATTCGATGTATCGGAAACATAATCAATCGGCACTCTCCGTCAAGTCTCAAAATAAAGCTGTCGCCAATTGGTTGCCTGACTCAAATTCGCGTTATGCCCAAGCGTATATTGATTTTGTGAAATACTTGCTTGGACGGATCAAGCCAAAATCACCTTACCCAGAAGGCCCTACCGCCAGTGAATTAGAAAAGCTACCCGATCTGTCTTATGAATATATCATGAATGATCAGCGGGTCTTCAACATCCCCTTACAATCAGCTAGTCCAACTCACGAAGACCCTCGGATCTCTCCTCGACAGAAGGACTGCTGGATTCGCTACAAACAGCTGTTCTTGCTTGACTTGACAATATTTGGTATTGAGCGTGCAACTTTGGCTATGGATCAATCCGAAAATATTCCTTGGAACCAAACGGTCTTATCATTTATAGTCAAGCATTCTCAAGTGGCCCGAGCAAATGGCGCATTCTCCCAATATCTCATTGACCCTAAACATGATGGGGATATGCTTGCTCTTGGACTCTTTGAACGTTGGATGCGTGGACGTTGCCAGGATATTGGAATAAAGACCAGAAATCCCGCTTACCAAGCAAAAGAAAAAAAGAAAAAAGATAAAGCCAAGGTCCGTATGAGATATCACCCAGGTTTTCAAATACAACAGATTCATGGACCTGATCACTTCTATCCACAATTCCAGCTCCTCAAGTACCGACGAAACACAATCAAAGAATGCTTGAAGCTTGACCCCGATGCCATAAATAGTATACTTTCGGACTCAAAATGCTGCTCTGATACTGAAGAAGATGAAACCAAACAACCGCGTGCAGTTGGGATTCATTGGAGGAGCACAGAGTACACTGCAGTCTTACATCTGATTGATAAGCTTTCCTACAAATACCAGAAGGATTTGCGTGGTGCGCGATGGGCTGCACGTCGCTTTGATGCAAGAAGAAAACCAGCGATTCGAGTGCAAGGCATGAAATGTGTCAAGAAAGGATTACCAGAGAATTTCTATTCTCCGACTTTTCTCTCGCAACTTACACTGACAGAGAGATCCTGTCTCACCAATATACCCCCGTCTGAGGCTCTAGAGACACTGAAGCTCAAAATTTGTGCAAGTTTACCATAGTCTACACATATCTCCATCATGTATCATTGATCATTATGATACTCTTGTGTGCTATTCAATGTTCTCTCATCCCTATTACTGCAATAGAAACTCTTTTTTTCATGTTTTTTTAATGAAAAGTGATGCAAACAAAAAACAGGTTATGTTCACTTAAAGATTGTGAAAACAATTCGAATTGGTATCTTATTGCAATGCTATCATCATAACATTAATACAATGAATGAACAATCACTACAATATATAATACAAAAAATCTCAATGCCTTGCAAATCCAATTCTCAAAGGAACAGTTGAAATAAACCAAACCAAAACTTATGCAAATAAAAAAAACACTATTATTCAATCTTCTGATGAATAATGTATAGGAGAATCAGGTTTAGAGGCACTGGGACTAGGAAAAGGAGGTCTGGTAGGTGTAGTGCTTATACCACCTTCAATCACTAAAGGTATCATTCCTGCTCTGTATATTACAAAGAAACAATCATTATAGTATCAAAAAATGCTCATTTTTTCAAACAGAATAAATAAGCAAAAAGATAAATGATAACCTGAGTTGGAATTGGCTATGACCAATAGCTTTTGATAAATAATTAGCCATACCAGAATGAGTTGTGATAGAAACATCTGTACTCCCACCCCCCCAAAAAAAAGAAAAAATTGTTAAATCAAGTTCAGAATGTTTTTTCATGTGTTTTTTGGTTTTGAATTTTCATAATGTTCATATTGGAACTTACAAGTATGTTTTTGACCATCTGAATCATTAGGTGATTAAATAAATGCTCAAGTGATTCATAAATTCTCAAATCAAGTTGTTGACTAGTTTCCTAAAGGAAAAAGAACAACAAATCAGAAAAAATATAGATGAGTAAATCAAAATCAAACCAAAATTTCAAAAAATAATGCAGATTTTTCTTTGGTTGAAAAGACAAAGTTTCTTACATAAGCTTAAAGAACTTTGGGCCACAATGATCAATTTCATTAAACCCATTTTCCCATTTTCAAATTTTCAATTTTCAATTTTCAGAATCTCAAAAACTGCTTTATGACTTCTTCTTAATTCAAAAGTATGTAAACCTTGCAAAGAAAAAATCTCAATTTAAAAAATCAAGAATTAATTTTACAAGAAAAAAGTTGAGTATAACTTTCTGCTAAAAAATGTATGCGTATCTATATTTTAAAACTGACTTTTCAAAAGTCCAAAAAAATATCAAGACTTTTCAAGCAAAGCAAACTAACTTTTAGAATATATGTGCACATATGAGAGAGTAAGAAAGAGATAAAAGAAAAAAGGAGTTTAAATGATATGACTGTATCTTGAAATTAGTTTCTTTGACCTTCACATAAATTTAATAAGTCAAGTTAAAAAATATTGAGTTTCTGGATATTTCCACCCTCTCACCCCCCCTTGATTCCTACACCTGATTTGACAACAACTCACCAGGAAACAAATTGTTTGAGATGTCAATTCCCATGATCATAAGTAGCAGATCTAGATTACTTCATCTAAGATGAACTTCTTGAAGGTCTACAATCAATATATAAACAATTCTCCCACACACTTGCCAATGAATGGATATTTTAATTTTCTTCATTCTCATACTCAGCTTTTAACTAAAGAAAAAAAGTCATTTCAAACTTTAGTCATATTTTGAATGGTTCATCTAAAAATCAAAAATCACTCAACTTTTTCAATTTTGGTTCATTGTTGTAAAAATGATCTGAAATGAAACACTCCTAGTTGTAAATCACAGATAAACCAATAGTAATATAAGCCAATTTGTTTTTATTGAGTTTAATCACATAGTAAATTCCAACCACCAAAGTTAGAGCTGATAAGATTGCAGTAACAACTGAGAAGATAAAAAATGTAAAACAATCTTGTCTTCCAATGCAATTGTTTAAAAATGTACAATGAAGATATAATTGTTTTACACAATTGTTGCATAATGAACAGTGTGAGATTTGGAGTGTTTAATAAGTTTGACATCTGGGGCTCCCTGATATTTCTTGAAAAGTAGATCAAAACAGATCATCAGAGATTTAGATATCAGACAATCTGCAAGATCAATCATTTGTGATATTCTTCAAAATGAATACTTCTTGAAGTATTGAAATAGAGGCAACATTGAATTAAGAAATATGATGGATTTAAATCTAATCATGATAGATTGATTACCAATATATATGCAAAGTGACTTTGCAGATCTTTGCATTTGATGATGCCAACAATGGTCTTTACTAACCCCAAGCTCATCATCTTTGAAATCTGAATGAATTTCCATATCTTCAAAGTGAGGTTCAGGAGCCATTCAACAAAGAATCACCCTGTCCGCCTGAGGTGCTCTCAACGACGAGAGCAAGCCGTGCCATCCTTCAAAACATCCTGAAATAACCCCAGATTTCCTGTGAAAGGACTTTACAGCTTAGCACCTTTGTTCCTAGGCCTTCCTAGCCCCCCGTAAAATCACAGACTCTTTTCTTGAACATTCTCATCAATTCCCAAAGAGTCGTGATCTCAATTTCAATCTTCATCCCTTCTCAGGTTACAGTGTTCATAGAGCACTCAATCAAATGACTCGGGTGAGTATATTTTGTTTCATGATAATATCAAATTACGGTTTTGTGTAGTCTTGAAAACAGTTCAAGATTTGGTGTTTTTCTTGATCCGTTAGACCAGCTCAGCTGATCATTCGGATTTTCCAACCCGATCGACTTGGTCACCGTACGATACCAGTACCGTCTTCGTGGCGGTCTTGATGATAAGCCTGCTGCCTTACTAATGTTATATCTCACTCTTGGTCTGCTCACCTCTCAATCTCCTTGTTATCCATCTATTCATGCCACTCCGTAATACTTTGCTTTTGATTATGTCCGTGTATGGGTTCAGTTCTTTGTCGGACCCAAGCTACAAGAATGGCTCAACCAACAAAAAGGATCAATCTCAGAGACGAAATTTAAATCAAATTGAATATGTAAATATCCTCAACAAAGAAAGAACAAGTTTGGCTCTGTGTGGCAAAAGCGATCATTAAACTCGCCGAATGCCGTTGTGCTCACAAAATCTGATGCTAGGTAAGAATCTGTGGTCTGTGCTTGATGCCTTTGATAGACCCGCATCCTGAAAGGACAGTCAACAAGATCTTCGGCATAGGTTAACTTTAAGATGTGGCCGTGAGTTCAGGTTTCTGTTTTTCATCTCAAAGCTATCGTTCTCCTTCACCTTCAAATTTCACTTCTTTAACTCACAGTTGATCTGATTTTTATTTCTTTTTTTTCTTCGTCTCAGTCGTATCTTTCATCATCACTGGCTGGCCAGAAGTTCTTTTCAAATTTTTCTCGAGTCATCTTATTGATCCTGGTGGTCACAGTCTCCTACGGTCTCTCTTTCTGATTTAATAATATATTCAAACTTCCTTCGTATAGTCAACCACATATTAAATTCATTACATTAAATTCATTACACCTTCTGCAAATGGAGATTGATTTGAGTAGCACAAGTTCGACTGGGACACAGCAAAATACTGATGGTCAGTGTCTGGCTGAACTATATCCAAATTGAATCTGGTCCTGATTTCTATTATTTCATTTCACTTGTCACAGGTCGTAGCAAACGGCAAAGGGTAGATGATGGTAAGTCGATGTGATTTGAATCCACAGACTTCAGATCTAGAATCTAACACAGGTGTTGGTTTCTCAGATGGTTCCAGCCCGCGACAGAGAACACCACCGATCAATTATGATTCTGATGACTCTGTGGATCCCAACGACAGCGACTCAGGTAAGTAGTGCACTGTTCCTTTAAAAACGGGCTTGAACTGACTCAGATTTTTCCGACCAGATGGTGAACTCACTCCTGCTGAAATAGCCAGTCAAAAGCGCAAACTGAAGGCAGGGCGAAAGTTGGCACAGGAAAAGCGAGACCGCGATTCGATGGTCGGTCTATTGGCCAACTCGCATTCGACACCTGGAGCGGCAACTGCCTTAGCTAGAGCCATTCAAGAATATGTGAAGATGATGCTTGGGGTGTATCGGAAATCACGCTCAACCTCTTCTAGTTCCGAACCTTCCCTCCCTGATCCACCGACCGAAGATGAAGTTCGCAATTGGGCAACTCGTCAGGAGTCTCGTCAGGACGCTATCAAGAACGCAATGGACCGTGCTGTGAAAAAATACCTCTCAAAGAAACCTGCCGACTTCAAACCGAATCGAAAGCAAATCAGGACTGTTGAGAAAGATGCTGCTCAGAAGGAAATGCTCTCGGCTCCATTGTGTCCTGTTAAGTTCGCCTCTCGTCTCTCGTTTAAATTTGGATCAAGGTACGATCATCGGTGGGGAACTCTATGCGAAGGTGCACTGGCTTTGGCAGGCTTTCCTCGTTGCACTTTTGACTGGAACGGCAAACCGGATTCTCCTTGGAACACAGCCATGTCGCGGATCATCCTTCAGGAATGGGAGAAGTGTCACGAAGCTCACGGTACAAAGGCTTTTGGAATTGTAGAATCTGGAAATACACCTGAAAACCGAATTGAGATTATCCGACGGTGGTGCGAGCATCAGGCTCCGAAGTTTCGCGAACAAGAAAAGTTGAGTTTAATGTCACAAACACCTGAGGGTAGGTTGCAAGCAGATCGGTTGCGCGAAATGTCCAAGAGTAAGGATAGACGCAGGCGAGCAAAAACTAGAGTAAGTTTGTTTGTTTTCCTGGTTATGCAGATGTTATATATGTTGTTGATTATCTATTTGTTCAAAATAGATTCACACGGCGCGCCTGGAACTGGCGCAAGGTATTTTTGGTGGAGCGTCACCCGAATACTTACTCTTATCTCATCCGGAGGTGCACTCTGAAGATGAAGTAGTGATTGTCAACGGCTCGGGATCACGGTGCAAAACCAGACTGGAATGGCGTAGCGGACCACTCGATACCTTTGTCAACCTCGTGGATCAACTTATCGAAGGGCAGGAGACTATTCCAAGGAAGAAGGCTCGCGCAAAGGCCATCATTGATCGTGGATCATACACTTCAAACGATCCGGATACTTTTCCACCTCAAAAGTTCCAGGAATCTCTTGTGTCAAATGCATGGCTTGATAAGATGTCAGGCATCGCAGTTGCAAACTTGAAACTAGTGAAGGCTGATTCAATCAACATTAAGAAATCAATCGAGATTTTGACTAATTTAGTATTGCCAAGGGGGGCTGCTCGTGTAGGTGGACAACCGAGTAGTAGTGAAGCGTCAAGTTCAACTCAGGTACCAATGATGACTCAATGATGGCGCTGGTAGCCTGCTTTTTATCTCTTTGTTCAAAGTAGGGTGGCTGTGATTACTTTGGTTATGTAAATAGTTTTGTTTTTTCTTTCCTCCTGTTCAAAACACCAGTGGTTTTTTTCTATCTTTATCGTTTTCTATCTTTACAAATATTTTACACTCATTTGGATTGTGTATGCTGCATTTTTGACGTACTCATTCCTATTTGTCAAGCGGATGTTTAGTTTGTTGTTGATGAATAGTGTGAAATGTGAGAAAAATGATTTCAAGGGTAACTTCAATTGGAAATGTATCCTTTGTGAGATTTGTCTCATGCTTTCAAAAAAGGACGACAAGGTCAAAGTTTTCCAAAAATGCCTTAGAGAAAAGCCATCTCATCCTCACATGGGTCTGTGTGATCATAACAATCAAGAAGCTATATGTGGAGAAATCAAAAAAACGAAGGGTGATTGCTGCCAAGATATCCGTTTGAGCGGATATTTTTCATTATTGCCCTTTCAACTGTTTCACCCTGTCTGAATTTCAAAAGGGTAAACCTGTCCATCATCTTCACTTTGAGTCTTCAAACGATTTCCACAAATGCTCGATTAACAAACTAGATACCCAGCCAAGAAATTCAACATCGTCTTTGGAAAAGTTTTTCAGAAGGTTCCAATCGTGGGTCTTCCTCAAGACCTTTTAGAAGTAAACTCAGACTGATCAGATTGTACCTTTTGCAAAAACCACAATCCGATTATCTTCTTCTCAAAGGGCAAGCATGGCAAAAATCGATCGAAATCACTTCTGTTGCACCTGCGTTCCTCTAGGGTGTAACACCGAAAGTTTCGAATACATGGGAGTCACCTACGTTGGGAAGCTATTCAACCGTTCAAACTACCCAAAACATCTTCATAAATCAACAGCTTTAAACGCAAATGAACAAGATCCGCTTCTTGAGGGGGGAAGTGGAGCCTTGAGATCGCAACCACCTTTAGCTCAATCTTATCAACATCCTCAAACCAAAAAAAGAAAGCATTCAGATTCACCGGCACCTCATAGTGAGAATGGCAGTGACGATATTAATCTTCGACCTCACAAGAATCCACGAACTACTAGTCCAAATCCCGTCGAGCTATCTATATCAACTACTCAAACTCCAAATGGGCTACCGACGGTCTTAACTTTCTCCACTGAACCGTTCAAAGTCCCTCTCACTTTTTTACAGCATCCTCACTGTGTTCAATCTATGTTTCATGTTTTGCATGACCATTTCATTGAGCACAAGAGTGTACGAGGTTCTCGCATTGCCCTTAAGATGGAACAATCAAAGGTCAAGAAATCTCTAGGCGACAATCCCCTGGCATCGAAGATATTACGAGAAATCCCTTTGACACTTGACAAACTCATCAAGACTTTTCGCTTAAACACCAACTTAGTCACTAATCTCTGCTGCTATGTATGCCGGAAACTTCATGGATTACTCGATCAAATCAATGAGCCTCTTATCACTAACTGCGACCATCTTCGATTTCCAAAGAAAACTTCTTCGAGTCTTCGAATAGTCTGTGATTTCCCTCTTTACGTACCTAGTTCTTCGGCCAGAAACAAACTCAGACCAACCTCAGTCTTCTATCACCAACGCTTCATTGAATGGATTGCGAAGATGCTATCGTTCCCCAAGTTTGAAAGTGCTCTTGACGAGCCTCTTTCTTCGCCTCGCCCTCCCAACGGTATCATGAAGGACATTTGGGATGGGAAAATATGGAAGACTTTCAAAGATGTTGACGGCAAGATCTTCACTCGATCCTCTGGAAACCTCGTATTTGGCTTCTACGCTGACTGGTTCAACCCTTGGGGCAAAAAAGCTGCGCGATCGTACTCATCAGGGCTGATGGTACTCATATGTTTCAACCTTCCACCCGATCAGCGATATAAATCCGAAAATATATTCCTTTATGGAATCACACCTGGTCCTCGTGAGACCAATTCAGATCAGATTGACCACCTAATCAAACCACTTTTCCACGAGTTCATCGACCTCTGGAGAGGAATCTATTTCAGCTCCACCTCACTTCACCCTCAGGGTCGCCTAATACGAGTTGCCATCTGGCCTTTGATTGCTGATGCCCCGGCCATGAAAAAGATCTCGGGGTTCACAAGTCATCGCTCCACCAATTTTTGCTCCCGTTGCTATATCACCTACCCCGAAATTGACGATGTCGATTATAAATCATACAAGGAACGCCATCCTATTTCGTACAAGACACAAAGTGACGAGTGGCTGAAGGCCAATGATTCGTTGGACCGTCACAAACTCGAGAAAAAATACGGTGTCCGATACACTATATTCTCTGAACTCCCTTACTGGCAACCAATCAACTTTCAAACCGTTGACATAATGCACAATCTAATACTTGGCCTTTTGGAAAGTTTCTCGACTTCTTATCTTCAGCTTGCTTCGGCTGGGGCAACTCTGAAGAACTTGCAGGATAAACAGACTCTTCAAGGTGTATACACTAATGTTACAAATCATAATGAATCCGAAACCGCAACATCCGATTCTATCCCTGTCACT